GGATGCTGTTGGTTACAGATGTTCAGGACATTATCAAAAGGCATCAATCCCAGATCATCACCTCATTGAAGGATCCAGACATCAGGTTAGTTTTAAGTGCGATGGAGTTTTTGAGAGATGCCTTTTTGGTTCTTCATCACTAGGCACAATGGTTGGTTACATGTTAAGCAACAGTAACATTAAACTTGTATTCTACACTGTACACATGCTACGAAATCTGCATGGACTTGTTGAGCATTCAGTTGATTATCTTGGATATGTAAATTCTGCCTAACATGCATGGTAGGTGTTTACCCTTTTACCTGGATCTCTTTTCCTGGCATCCTAGCTTGCACTATATTGTTTCAACACTGTGAAATGCTCACTTTAGCAAACAGTGATTCATCAATCAGGCTAGTTTCCATATTGCTGATTTTAAGGATATCTCAGCTATTTTTTTTTCTTCTTCATAGACCATAGTATAGCGGTACACTAATTATTCTAAGTGGTAGTCATAATTACTCCTATTATGCTCGATGGTTACCTGTTGGACTCCCAACTATTATATCAGGGGCACAAGTCCCCTTGTTGATTAATTGAAAATTATACAATTAAAATAAAACATGATAGTCATAATTGTGATTTCATCTGCAGTGCTAGGCAGTTTTTCATAAATCTATATTCTGTGAAGTTGGTACTCTACGTCATAGTTTTAAAAATCACCATCCCTTACTGACAATGATTTAACCCCCATAGTATTCGGAGACGTGCTCTTGATCTGTTATATGGCATGTGTGATGTTTCAAATGCAAAGGATATAGTTGAAGAATTATTGCAGGTACAGTATTACTGGACAAAAAACAGTAATTGTCTTTGATTTCAGTTGACAATTTTTTTTCTTATGTACCATCTATAGTCGGCCACCAATGTTAGATGGGCTCTTCTATTATTTAAGTGTATTGTTGTCCATAAGATATGATAAGGGTAAGGGTATGAGATTTGTGTCCAATGCCCATACCCAAATTAGACATTTGGATCCTCTAATTTTCTTTACAATGTTCAAAGAATAAGTAGCTTAAATTTGATGATAAAGAAAATTTTCTAACCTCACACTGTATAGGAGATAGAAATCCCTGTTTTCCCCCTAAATCCCATTTAATTTGAATTACATCCCCAAGTAATTACAACATCTTATATTATGTTTAAACATTCAAGACATGACCACATACCCATTTCTAACTTTTGAAAACATGTTATTGTATCCTAAGATTTAAGGTTGAGGGACGTCCAATGTCTGGACACACCTACAGGCTACACCCAACACATAGAGTCCATGTAACATACTTGGCCACTAATGATGGACTGAGATATTTCCTAGCAAAAAGCACAAGAAGCATGCTACTGACACTTATCTGTTATCAGTATCTCAGCACAGCTGACTTTGCAATGCGTGAAGAATTGTCACTAAAAGCTGCTATTCTAGCAGAGAAGTTTGCCCCTGACTTATCATGGTAAGTATGCATTTCTATCCAAGAGGGAGAGCATGTATTTCATTATTAGATCGAGGCAGCACACCATGATATACTGTTGAATGCGATATTTTCAGTTGTCGCATGAATAACTACCACGAATAACTCTCGATTGATGAATTATTTTGATGTCAAATGGCTTCTCTGTATAGCAGTGTTACTTCAGTTTTTTACTTAAAAATTTGATCTTTTCTGCTTAGAATGCAATAAATTTTAACCTATTGAAACTTTTTCTCTTCACTCTTTTATAATTTTGTACACTACTTATAATATCATTTTTGTTTCTAATCACTGTGCAGGTACGTGGATGTGATTCTTCAGTTGATTGACAAAGCAGGAGATTTTGTCAGTGATGACATTTGGTTTCGTGTTGTGCAGTTTGTTACAAACAATGAGGACCTACAGGTGTCTACATCTTTTCATTCACGTGCTTCATTGTTTGTCCTTGTCTTCTTATGATATTCATTCAGTTGCTATTTCCTTACTTCATATATTTTATCAGCCTTATGCAGCAGTAAAAGCCAGAGAGTATATTGATAAGCCGGCCACACATGAGACAATGGTCAAGGTGTGCATATTCTTCTGCCTATGATTTATTTACATTATCTGGTAAAATGTGAGTAAGGATATCTTTTAAGTTTTAAGGTGTGCTTGTGCATATTCCAGCATCAAGGATCTTTACCAGGGACCCATTTGTGTTGCACTCTATTTGTTGGACTTGGATGTTGTGGCTTTAGTAGTAGGCCTATACAAAGACAGATATTCTTACAGCATAGTTATAATTTACCCGCTCTGGATTACCATCTTACATTTAATGTGGTCCCTTTCGTTTGTAGTTTAATTTTCAAGCTCTTAATCAATTTATTGTAAGTTAATTACAGAAAGCATGATCAATTGTATCATTTTATGATTGCGCAAGGCAAGATGAATTACTAAGAAACTTTTTTTTTTTTTTTGGGAACAAATCAATTGCAAGGAATTAAGTGTAGTTGGGCATTGGTATTTTTGGAGCAGGTCAGTGCTTATATCCTTGGAGAATACAGCCACCTTCTGGCCAGACGGCCTGGATGTAGTCCAAAGGAAATTTTTAATATCATACATGAGAAGCTGCCAACTGTTTCGTAAGGGCACTTGAACTTCTGCTCGTCTTTTCTTGGTAGTAAATGCTATTCATCACGTAACAATACTAATGGGCATTATGCATCACCAGGACTTCTACGATTCCCATTCTTCTTTCAACATATGCTAAGATTTTAATGCACACTCAACCCCCAGATCCAGAATTACAGAATCAAATATGGGCAATTTTCCACAAGTGAGTTTAACCTATTATGAATGTTATTTTTGTTACGTTATTTATTTATTTATTTGGAGCTCGTTATTCATGTTTTGGCACAAAATGCCTTGGAATTCTTTGCAATATCATGCATTTTTTTTTTAGATATGAGAGTTGTATTGAGGTTGAGATACAGCAAAGAGCTGTTGAATATTTTGAATTGAGTAGAAAAGGTGAAGCTTTAATGGATATAATGGCTGAAATGCCTAAATTCCCCGAGCGCCAGGTACGTGTTTTACAACATTTTCGTGAAATCATATTGACCTTATTATCTTCTTGTTCTGGTGGATTAGTTCATCAATATATTTGATGAAAAACCCCATTTTTATTGTCAGCGTGATCTTCTAGTCCAGCTTATGACACTAATTGTAGCATACATTTTAATATTTAGTCCGCATTGATAAAAAAAGCTGAAGATACTGAAGCTGATACTGCGGAGCAAAGTGCGCTTAGGTTGCGGGCACAGCAACAGACTTCTAACGCTTTGGTAGTGACTGACCAACGCCCTGCCAACGGAACACCACCTGTGAGCCAAATTGGTCTGGTAAAGGTGCCTAGCATGAGCAATGTGGTAATATTTCTTCTGCTGGATTTTATAAAGAGTGGTTTTTATTTAATTAAAAAAAAAAAAAATCATTTTTGGCTTCAGTTATATATTGATCCATGGTTGATTATTTGGTTAGGATCATAATTTATCATATCAAGGGGTGACCCAGGAAAATGGAACTCTGAGCATGGTGGATCCTCAACCTCCTGAGCCTTCACCTGATCTCCTTGGTGATCTCTTGGGTCCATTGGCTATTGAAGGACCCCCTGGTGCTGCTTCGCAATCCGAGCATAATTTGGTCCCTGGAGCAGAAGGTGCTCCAAATGCGGAAGATGCTCTAGCGATTGCACCTGTTGAAGAGCAGATAAATACTGTCCAGGTTACTGTTGCTTTATTACATGCCTTGTTGGTTTGAGTCTTTATAATCATTTAACATTGACTCCTTCCTAGACTGGGAAACTATGACTCCTTTTTCCAAAAAAAGTGTGTAACTGTGACTTGTTTTGCTCTTCTGAATCCTTGAAATCTGTTTCATGTGATCATTAAAACATGCTGATTGGTTTTCTGATAAACATTTGGCATTGTTGCACATGTGAATCTCTTTAAATAATTAATATTTTTATATCAACATTATTTTTCTATTCTTGCTGCTCAAACATGTGCTAGCTTCATGAATTTGAAAGTTCAACACAATGTATCTCCTCTCGAAGTAGTCATAGTGTTGCTTCTGCAATTTGATATCGCATGAAGTGCCCTTAATATGCTAACACCTGCCTTTCTGCTTAGACGAACAGTTTATTAGGCATCCATCAGTATCAGCTTGGTGATTCTTAGGTATCACTTGCACGACATATTGGCTTAAAGTAAGTGGTTAGGATATTAAGAGTGGTATGCAGATATATAAATGCAATATTGGTGGATCAGGATTTTAAAGATGATGATGATGATGATGATGATCATTAAGCTTTGTTTCTAGTTATGTAGATAGACCAATCTAAGAAGCATGGACACTTCTAAAAAGGAAACTTGTTGTGTTTGACACTAATACAACACGACACTCATTGGACACTTCCCAGCACTAAGACACAATAAATGCATTGGAAATTTGAATAAAATGACTTGCAATCCAATGACAAAACAAAAACAATGTTAATTTATATCTAATTTTTTTCTTTTAGACTTCAAAAATTATTATCTTACAGTTAAATATTCATATACATGACATATAATAATTATTTATCCTTATATATGGCATATAATAAAAATATATATATGTATTTTGCACGTGTCTCTCAAATGCCATGTTCTATATTTTTTGAAAATTTGTGTCATCGTGACTGTGTTGCTTCACTTGTCCATGACTCTGCTTCTTATGATCCAATCCATTGCTGGGCTCATGCTCCAAAGCATGGACTCTGTCAAGCGGGATTTGGAGCCTTAATTCCTTTACTATTGTTAATGGACTCTGTCAAGTGGGATTTTGAGGCTAGTGTTTGACCACTCTTACGATTCTCCCCCCCCCAATTTTGACCTATCTATTGTTTTCTATGCTGTGCATGGGCATTTGTTATTGATATATGCTGCTAAATAGACAGCACCATGTTGCAATTATATCTTTTTTATCAGCAATTATAAATTATAGGTAATAATTCTGCTGCTATGCATTATAAAATAAAGACCAGAGTTGCGTGTGCTATTTTGGAGTATTTACTGACTGATTTCATGATACTTGTCTGCAGCCAATAGGAAATATTGCTGAAAGATTTCATGCTTTATGCCTGAAGGATAGCGGTGTATTATACGAGGATCCTTATATTCAGGTATGCTGCCCTCTTGGAATTTTTGGGTTGAATATTCTATAATGGAACTTAATTATTAATTATTTTTGTTTCTGTGAGAGGAATCTGCTTTAGTGGTCATGTGTTGATAGTGATTTTTAAGGACTTCGGTAAATTTCTTGTAAATACTTTGCCAGATTGGCATTAAAGCAGAGTGGCAAGCCCATCATGGCCGACTTGTTCTTTTCTTGGGAAACAAGAATACTGCTCCCCTTGTTTCAGTTCAAGCTCTAATATTACCTCCTTCCCATCTGAAGATAGAACTCTCATTGGTACCTGAAGTTATTCCTCCACGGGCACAGGTCAGACAACTGGTTATGCATTTACTTAATCACTTCTTGTTAGCTGCTCTTCTATTTGTATTTTTTGTTTGTGTTTTTGGTTACTTAGGTGCAATGCCCACTTGAATTTATCAACCTCCGACCAAGTAGGGACGTAGCTGTTCTTGACTTCTCCTACAAGTTTGGCACTCATGTGGGTATTACCTAGTAATAATTTTTTTTTGTGGTATAACCTAAGGTAATTCTAGTGACTGTATGTTTCTTATACTTGTCCTTCTCAGGTCAATGTCAAACTTCGCCTTCCTGCTGTCTTCAATAAATTTCTTCAGCCTGTAACAGTGTCTGCTGAAGAGTTCTTCCCGCAGTGGAGATCCCTTGCTGGACCACCTTTGAAACTTCAAGAAGTGGTACGTACAATACACTATACCTCATTTTTTGGCCTATATATATTGTGTGTGGCATTTTGTCTCATTTTGTTGTAAGTTACTGTTCGTGGTATCTGTTTGCTTTAACAAGATGATTAAAAAAATCAATTCTCCTTGCACTTGTGTTAGTCAATTGATTAAAAAATGAAAATAAAACTGTCTTTTGCCATTCATGTATAATTTCAATAGATCAATGCACACTTTTTCTTTCTGAAATTACCAATAGTTGGAGTTTTCCATCATTGTCTCATTGCATTGCAAGGTAATCACATGTTGGGCCTAAAGCTAGCTCCTAAGACTTTCATCCACCTGCAATTAAAGCAGATTTGGTGTCATTTTCATCTCATTCTTCCCATTATGTTTTTAATCAGAAAGTAAACCAAGGGAAATTTGTTTTGCAAAAATAATTTTAGATAGGAGGACATGTGCATGTTAATGCTAATTGATGTTTTCCAAGCTTCATTGATAAACTGTCATCGAGTTATCAAAATTCAAAGCCATTGTAAAATAGTGTTATAAATTTGTATGGCATTTAAAAGGAAGGAGTGGCATGTTTGATTCATACTACTGTCTTGAAAGTATAGTAAATAAATGAGATGGCAGTCAGTATTTTTAGTATTTTTATTCTCTGACTTTTCCAGGTTTGACAAGTTTTTCATTGTAATACACTCACTTGTAAAACACCATGAAATACCTAGGTTGCATCGTCTTTAGCATGTTGACAAATATAAAAGGGAGATTACTCGATATTGATTCCTTTTTAATCAAGGGAGGGATAAAACTTGGGAACACTGAAACCCATGTTCCTATGCTTAGTAGCCCAAGCTTTTACCATTGCACTGACCATTGATAAACATTTATTTAAGTCTTTTATGTGAAATTGGCAGGTTAGAGGTGTAAGACCAATGTCTCTTGCAGAAATGGCAAATTTATTTTACAATTTCCGGTTGATGATCTGTCCTGGGCTTGTAAGTTTTCATCTACCCACCTGGGCCACCTCCTCTCACTTGTATAAAGTTTGCTTACTGTTAAATTTCCTGTTTCAGGATCCAAATGCAAATAATTTGGTTGCAAGCACTACTTTTTTTTCAGAGAGTACAAGGGCCATGTTGTGTTTGGTAAGATTTGGCCTTTAATAGCTAGTTGTACACATTTACAGTAAGTTATGATTGCTAATGATGAATAGGCATTTTATGATTGACCTTATGGTGGGATATGTATTAAATCCTTCATTTCAAATTTCTAATAAAACCTTTTCGCTTTCTAGATGAAAATTGTTGTGCTGAATTTTCAAGTTGTCAGAAGTTATGCTGCTTGTAGCTCTTTTGAAAGCTGGGCTTGCTTTTGACCTCTTTAAAGCTAATGTAGGAAAATATAAAAGCTTTTGCAATGTAATGCTGACTTCATTTTTCATATTTTTTCTTTGGATGATATTCAGATAAGAATTGAAACAGACCCAGCAGACAGAACACAGCTGCGTATGACAGTTGCCTCAGGGGACCCTACACTAACATATGAGTATGTCTACTAATTTCGGGTTTTAACTACAATTTTACTTCATCTCAATTTGATGCCATATTTGACCACATTTGTACAGGTTAAAAGAATTCATCAAGGAACAATTGGTTACCATTCCAACAGTTTCCTGGTCACCAGCACCAGCACCTCCACAAGCTCAACCAACTAGTGCCCCAACAGCATTATCAGATCCTGGGGCTCTGCTTGCCGGTTTGCTTCACTAAAGTGGATGCAATCAATTGAAGAATTTTTAACCACACCTGTAAAATCTTCCACCAATTATCCCGTACAAGTCAAAGAAGTGAGCAAGAAACAAAAATGATGCGGAGGGCTAGCGGAATTTAATGGTGAGCTTAAGTGTGATCCGGCTTGAGTGTTTCAAGTTGGATTTCTAAGGGGAATGGGTCAGGCATTCAAGATTAGGTTCTTTCTGCACAATCATATTGTGGCTTGTGAGTTTTCCTCTTTTGGGATTAGGGTTTGCTTTTTTTGCTTTTCAGTTCTGTTACCTTTCCATCCTTTTATTTTTTATTTTATATATATATATATATATTTAATTAATATAGTGAGGTTTTATTGGGTTGGTTTTTGTAATATGAATAGCTTAAGGGAGCAGTTGAATGTAGGACCAATTGTAAAAACAAAAAAAAAAAATCATTTGATTGTGGGTACATATTTATATTTTCGATAAGAACAATTATTAGAGGAAAGAAAAATTAATGTAGCATTGATGTGCCATTTTTTTCTTCTTCTCTCTTGTTTTGGTGTTTATGATTTTGAGGGGGGGTGCAAAGATAGGAGGAGGAATAGTTAACACCAAAAACTCTTCAAAATTCCCATTCTAATAAATGTGAGAGTCATTCTGATAGTAGCAAAAACTCAAATTGATTGAATATTGACAGTTACATGATTAATTAAATCACATTTGCCTTTAAAGAAATCAAAGATCTGATTCAAAGAATCACATTTATCGTTCAATTTTTTTAAGATAAATGTGATCGGAACAAATTTAATATTTTTTACATCGATCATATACTCATTATATTTTACAAAATTAAGAAGTTGAATTATCTTAACAAACCAGGAGTGGTCTCCATCAAGAAGCAGGGCAGTGTTTTTCTATGTACGAGGCCAAAATAGAATTTTGGATATTGCTGTGCATGCTATTTGTTCAGATCCCAAAAACAAACAAATTCAAATACTGAAGGAAATTACTTCTGAAGTCAAGTGTCATAGCCAAACAAGAATACGAGGGAATTCTGATTTACACAAAGTGAAAAAGAATAAGATAAGCACCAAAAAAATCTGCTCATCCATCCATCCATTTCTGAGTAAATATCACACCTCCCAAAGTGATTCTAATCCTCCCTGGTTTTTAATCCAGGTATCAACAGGCTTTGAACATTTTTGTATCTTCCAATATTTGATCTAACCAAACCTATGATTGCAAAATCAATCTTCCATATATTTGTGATATCAAAAGGCTGAATTTAGCACATAAGAAGGGAGAACTAGCCAAGAATCAGCACCAATTTCTCTCTCACTAAACGCACTCAATAACCACTAAGAAGCTACTACAAAAGCGGTTGAGCTCTGGAAGTTCGTCATGCACCACAACTGGCAAAATTCTTCAACCAAAGAAGAAATCACTGTTCAACTGCACAGCATATCTTAATCTCTCATAACAATGCACAACATCAATCGGCAAGTCTGTGTTCAACTGTGCTCCGTTTCATGACTAATTGAACTTAGTTACAGCAGAATTTTTTTCAGAACCTTATATATAACATGAGATCAACTACTGCCACTGCTGGCAGTGGCTGCACCTCCAGTTCCCCTCCCAAGATGACTGCTCGACCCAGGACACACAATGGCTGTGTGTCCACAACCCACAATTCTGGCAATAAAGATCGGGGCGTGGATCCATAAGAGAACAGCTCCGACAAAACTCCATATCACCAGCAGGATCCACAGAAATTGTTGGTTCTTGATGATTGTCAATACCCATCATTCCACACTGCTCGGAAGGTCCATCCCATGAAATCCCAGATGCATCAACTTCACCCAATTGGCCACCATCATCAGATGCCAGCAACTCTGTAAAGGAGAAGTAGGTCTGGGGTTCAAACTCTATGTCCTCGTAGTTTAGACATTCGTAGTCAAACAATAAACCATCATCAAAATCATTTTTAGAAACATCCCACTCCACGTGAGGAGATAATGATTCCTCTCCAGGGTTCGGGAGAATGTTTGGTTCAATCGGCGTTGATAACTCAACCTGAGATGGGTTATTTGCCGAGGTTCCATCAACATCATTTTCACGCTTCATATGCCTTCTAACTGGTAGTTTCTGAGGCCCAGTTCCAGAAGCAGTAGCAGGATTCCATTCAAATTCCATTTCTGATTTGTGCTCTGTAAATTGCTCGACGGCTGAAAAAGGAAGAGGATTGTCTTCCTCTGGAACTACCTCATTCTTGGGCAACACTGGAGTAGTGGATTCCCACTCATTAGGTTGTTCAGAAATGGTTCCATAATCAGAGTCCAATTCTGAATTTCCTGTCTTTGGAGCTCTTGTGCGTGGCCTCTTGGCTTCTAATATTTTCTTGCTTTTTGGATCCAAATAAGGGCACACAGGTGATCTTATCCTCCGACATCTGCAACATTTGAATCCCATCACCTCAGGAATTTTCGAATCCTCTAGTTCTATAGCTTCAGCATGATACCAATCTGCAAGTGACCAAAAGCGGCATGAATGGAATACTACAAATTAGCAGAGAAACTAACCAAAAAGAAACGGGGGGAAGAGAAATAGAACTTATCAAGTGGCAGGCTTACTTTGGCATGTTTCACAGCGAATATACACGAGATTAGAATTATAAGTCTTTTGGCACAGGTGACAAACAGGTTCTAACCAGCTCATATCTGAATTGCCCCTCAGAAGAATGTTTTTCAATCTGAAATCACTTCCATCATCGTCAGGGTTCTTCCTTTTCCATATCAGACCCCAAGAACATAACTTGCGTCGATTTTTTGTTGCCAAATTAGAATCATGCGTAGCTGGTTTCATCTCCATAGAACTTGGAGAATGTCCAACAGATGTTAATGGTTGATTAAAGGTTTTCTGCTTGGCACCTTTACTGACTGTAACAGCATTCTGAAACTCTTGCCCTTGCGAAAGCAAGGGGCTAGTTGGAGATTCATTACTGTTTTCACTTTGAGCAATAGCTTTGGTATGGGAACACTGTCTGCAGGTGATCAAGAACTCAAATTCATCATTCCTGTGAACCATAGAACTGATGGTACATTGCTCATGACAAAAACCTGATCACAAAAATGTGAAAGTCAGTTCATGCGTATTTGACCAATTTCAGTTCTAAAAAAACTTGAGTTCTACATTCATACCCTAAACATTTATGACGGAAAATACATTAGAAAAATATTGGGAGCCTCCCCAATTTTTCATACGTTCTAATAAGTTCTTCTAAAATGCCAGTAACATCCCAATTATTGTAATGGCGATAACATCTGACATAAAAATAGAGGTCAAATCAAGGCATGTACAATTATAATTTTAAGTTACACGAACTGTTGATTATGCAGGTATTCTTGTCTGTATACTACCAACAGGAAAGTTCCGGTGCAGCTTCTTTGACGAGTAAAAAGTTCATCTAGTTTCTTAAACTAGTAATGATACTCTTTAGCAGCCGATCAAGCTCAGTGACTCATCTTTCACATAACTAGTACCAAATCAAGAGGGCGTTGGTCATGAAAGCTAGACAATCAGTGTAAAACTTGCCCTCATGCTTCATGAAAATAAATCCTACTTCATGCTAGGCTGATTATCTAAAGGAGGTAGGTCCTGTATAAAGAAGAGAAGAGGGCGAAGAAAATGTGAATGGCAAACCACAAAACAGTAAGGATTATGTCGTGTAGATGCCAAATTTTTTAGGGTCAGTGTAGATGCCATATTCAAGCATCTCACTCTTCTACACAAGATTTCGTTGAAATGGAAAGGTCATTTTCACTACATTTTGGGCCTGTTCAGAATCCTTAAAATCTGTCTAGTCTAGCTCCAAACCAGCTCCATTTAGCTAGTCTATATCAAAACATGATTTTATGTGAACTAGTTCTAGCATACTACTAGTTTGGTATATTTAAGACCATAAATTATTTTCATCTGTTTTGTACAAGATAATTTCAGTCAATTCTCTCCATCAATTCAAAATATATTCTATAACATCAAACAATCACAAAATAAAACCATTCCTACTGTTCTAACATAACACCTTCGCCACACCCCAATTGCCACACCTTCACCACTGTTACCTTCACCAATAAATCCAGGCTCATTTGATGGTTTTGATGGTAAGATTCAGAGTAAGGAATGTGGTTCTCAGATAGAGAAAGTGAGATTGAGAGAGCATTTTCAGAGAGCAAATTACATTCAGTTACCAATTGATCGTTAGTTGGGAAACTCAACTTGCTGTCCACCATTTTGATGAATAATAGGTAATGGATGTCACCATTTTTTTATGTTGTCATCACTTTGTGGGAAGCAATTGCGGCTTCGTTTAAGCCAATCTGTTTGGGTGAAATAGGTTTGCCATAGATCAAGTATTGTGGCAATATGGTGGTGGCACTGGCAACTAAAACGGTTGTGATGGTTAAGGAATGATTGCCATTGTTGTGCTAGTAGCATCAAGTGGGTCTCCAGTTTGCATATGGTTTGGTTGCTAATGTAGTCAACTCAGTTAAATAAATTGGGTTCATGTGAGAAGAGAGAAATAGAGAGGAGAGAGAAAGCTATAGGGTATGTGTACGGAAGGGAAGGAGGGTAGTAAGGTAATTTAATTTATTATGAGAGGATAGTAAAGTAATTTTATGTTTTCTATTAACCCCATTAAGAGACAAACTCTGACAAGGATAAATTTGTGATTTCTCAAACCATAGAGAGGTATTGTAATTTACCATACAAGGGCATGACTACATGATCTTAGAATAGTTGACAAGGCTTTTGCTGAATTTGCGTGATGTTCCAGAGGAAGTCTTTCTATCTATCACACATAAAAGCTTCAATTTCTTTCTTTTTTTGTGGTTGTGGGAGAAACAATTCCAGCACTAGAATTGATATGCATTATTGATGCAATTCAAAAAGCTAAAAAAAGGCATATTAAGTAATTTAGATAGTTTAAAATTGAATTTGGGATTAGCAAATTGAACAAACACTCTAATCTACATGTTTCCTGATACAGAAAAGTGATAACTATACCTTGGCATGCACTGCATTTAACCGCTTTCCTGAAACCACAGCAGAGAACATGTTACTCAATTGACGGCCAAGTAGAAGAATAAAAAACAAGAGGGAAATTTACAGTAGTATTGAAAGCATTACCTAAGTAAAACATCCACTTGACACGAAGCGCAATAGCACTTGTCCAAATTGTCTCTCTTACATGAAAGGTAACAAAAAATCTCCTTACGAGAAACTTTCAGCTGCCTTCTTTGTAAATTGGACAACACATTCACAGGCTTGTCAGCCGATGGCGGATGCACTTCATCTACATTTTCTTCATACTCTTTGATCAAATATAAAGGAATGCGAGTTTCAGGAAACCAGTGTTTTTCCCTTCCATCTTTGCCTTGCTCTACATCTATGATACTCTTCATGACGCGGGAAGGGAGATGCTTTTGATTCCCAAAAGCAACTCCATACATAACCTTGTCTTCCACAATTTTCTTATCACAAACAAAAGCATTTCTAAAAGCAGAAGCTTCTGTCTCTGGACCTTTTGAATCTTGAATGTTCTGCTCAGGACGAACAAGATCACTCCACCTTACATGAAGGTCAAGGTACCTGACCTGAAACAAGGGACAATTTTATTGTAAAGGTTGCGATGGCAAAAATGGACAATCATCCAGAAATCACAAATTTCACCATAAACTGAACAGGGACCGGAGGGGGCAATTGTTTGCTAAATGGAAAAAACAAGAGCAACTGTATAATTGCAATAGCATGTTAATAATAATAGCACACCTGAACCGCAAGTTGTGATGCATTCTTACTCATTTCAACTGCAGCTCTCCAAATAAACTGTCTGCTCCTTTTAGGGATCTCAGAATCTTCAGCATAATAAATACCAGGAATCTTTCTGCAACCACCTGATAAGCAGCAAAACCGTGAGTGAATTATCTAATTCTCTTTCAGAAAAAAAAATGTTCCAAAAAAGAAAACAGAAAAAGAAGAGAAGAGAAGGAGAAAGAAAAAAAAAATATATTAGACTCAATCCATGATGCTTGCAATAGAGGGTCAGAGTTCAGATGTTACCTTGGCGAGCTGCTTTCTTAACCAATGAACGCGGCAAAACCCCTCTCTGAAATATCCGCTTTGATAACTTTCCTCCTCGCCACCAGGTGAAGTCACTCAAGTTGTCAAGAGAGTCATCAGATGTAACTTCAGATATAGCAGACGGTTTTCTACCCCGCCTCCCACGTGGTCCACGTTTCTGAGTTGATCCAGCAGCACACGTAGTGCTCTGGGTCACGGAAGATTCAACTGACCAATTATCCACAAGCTTAACCCAGTCCACAGAAAGAGCAACAGTGCGGATGTGTTCCTCAAGCTGCAAATATAAACAATATGAGCATACCAACAAGATGATCAAATGTATAGGCATGTATAACAAGAACAAAATACATCTTTTGCTGTCAATTATCAGTTTTCAGATATAATGGAATCCAAAAGACAAAACTTCTAGCCATATAATATATTTTACTTTGAAAATGAAATTTCAACAAATTGGAAGGATTTCATTTTGAATAACTTCCACAACATTCTAATGACACTCAATTTATACATCCTTCGATGATTTGTACTTCTCAGATTGAATTTGTAAATATATTATATAATGGGGACTAAACTGGGTGTACTTTCTTTTATTTGCACACATAGAAATATATACATGCACACACATTCTATTTATTAGAGGTGGCCAATTTGAAACTGGACACATAAACCTGCCCAAACCCACCGGTAATAAATGGGTTTGAGTATTGCTAGTTTATGTAAAAGGGCGTAATCGGGGTTAATAAAAAAATACCTTTTTGTAAATGGGTTGATATGTTGGACCCGTTGGGTACCCAACTTCTTAACCCATTGGTCTCATATTTGGGGGCTTTTCTCTTAGGGTTTTCTTATACGTTTCTAACAGAGATCTAACAGAGTTTTCAGCTTAGAAAGGTCAATATTTACTCATCACTAGAGAGAGAGAAAAAGATATTGAAGGAGAAGATCAACGTTTCCAAATAGCTCAAAGCCAAGCATCAAAAGGTTTACTTAATTACCTGAAATCTTTTATGGGTTTGAATATTTACTTGAAATCTTGTATGGATTTGAATGTTTAGCTTAAATATTTTTAGGGTTTGGATATTTATGAGTTCTTACATTTGCAGATCTTAGAGAGAGAAAGAAAAAGACATTGAAGGAAAAGACCAACATTTCCAAATAGCTCAAAGTCAAGCATCAACAGGTTTACTTAATTACCTTAAATCTTTTATTAGTTTGAATATTCACTTGAAACCTTGTATGGGTTTAAACGTTTAGCTTAAATATTTTTTGGGTTTGGATATTATGAGTTCTTACATTTGACAATCTGGAAGATGTTGAGAACCATTTTTTATTGTGATATGATAGGTGTGTTGCTCATCAGCTTATGAAAATTGTAAAGAAACTCCTTGTTTTTTCTTTTTTGTTTTTCCTGTTTTCTAATCTAGTTGAAACTTATCATCCATATGTAAAATAAATTTGGCAAATACATAGGAAAGAGTAGTTGAGCAATTTAATAGATGTTGCTCGATGCGATTCCGAATGATGAAGTATCCCTGCCTTGACAAAATGATCCCCGCTTTGACAAAATAATACCCTGTTTAGTTGTGTTTTTGTCAAATTAGTTTATTTTCTAATGGCTGAAAATTTCATTACCATATGTTACCATTATTAATTTTAAAAGTGATGAAGATGAATATTGTTTCATATTATATCCTGGTGGTTGGAAATTTCATTTTTAGTTGTTATTGTCTGTGTTGAAAATGTCATTGCCACCCATTTTGGGGTATGGATTATTGCAATTTAAAAAGAATATATTTTACATGCGATAGGATGGAGGAAAATATTGATGACCATGTGGAGCAAAGCTCTTGTGCTACTTCAAAACAGTGTAAGAGATCCGCAACCATAGTTTGGGATGACTTCGAAAAGTTGCCTATTAGTGATGATGGGAAACAAAGGGCTAAATGTAAGAAGTGTGGGCAAGAGTACATTGTAGATTTGAGAGCAGGCACCATGAACTTATTACACCATATTAGTAATTGCCATAAACAGGTGCCCCATGATTCTCATCATTTTACTGAACTAGATCAAGACCTATATCGTGAGAAGGTAGCCACAACAATAATTAGGCACAATTATCCTTTTATGTTTGTAGAACATGAAGGCATCAAGGATATACATTGTTTTTTAAATCCAAGTGTAAAGAACATCTCGAGAAACACTGCAAAGTTTGATAAATTAAAGGTGTATAGAAGGGAACAAGAGAAATTGAAAAATATATTGAACTCAATCAGACATAGAGTATGCTTGACATCAGATTTGTGGTCCTCACTTACTATGGATGGATATCTAGCACTTACTGCCCATTATGTTGATGATGATTGGGTGTCACAGAAAAAGATCTTAAATTTTCGTCACATACCTCCTCCACATAATGGTCCAATTTTGGCCGAAAGGGTTATTCATTTGTTGAAAGAGTGGGGCATTGATAAAAAGATTTTCACCCTTACCTTGGATAATGCATCGTATAATGATGGCCTTGTGGATGTCTTGAAGTGTCATATTGGTTTGAATGGTACATTGTTGTGTAACAGTGATTTTTTTCATATACGTTGTGGCGCACATATTCTGAATTTAATTGTGCAAGCAGGGTTGAAGGTGATTGATGAAGCTATACATAAAATCCGAGAAAGTGTTAAATATGTTAAGAGGTTCAGAAGGGAGGAAGATCAAATTTACCATATGCATCGCTCAATTATCTTTGAAGTGTAGTTAAAAGATACGGCAAGATGTTTCCACAAGATGGAACTCAACATATTTGATGCTCGAGTCTGCCTTAATACATCGTCTTCCATTTTCTCAATTGCAGTTGATTGATACAAATTTCAAGACATGTCCATCAAAAGATGAGTGGCTTAGAGCTGAAAGAATAGCTAAGTTTTTGAAACCATTTTATGAGATTACCACTATTTTCTCGGGATCTTTGTATCCCACGGCAAATTTATACTTTCATGGGGTGTAGAGAATACAATTACTTATCACGGAGGAGATGAAAAACTCGGACAAAATCATAAATTCCATGGCAAGTATGATGAAAGAGAAATTTGATAAATAATGGGAGTGTTATAGTGTGGTGTTATCTTTTGCGGTAATATTAGATCCTCGTTACAAGTTACAATTTGTAGAGTTTCGTTTTAAGAAGTTGAACCTTAAGGTATATGTTGAAAAGGGTAAGGTTTATTCATGAAAAGTTATATTTGCTTTTTGACGAGAATGTGCAATGTAGTCCCACTTCATCATCAACATGTGCTACAAGTGGAGACAACAACGAGAATGTACTTGATGAAATGGATGTAAGAGTAGTTAATTATATACAGTTATAATATCTTTTCCTTTATCTTTATTATTCTAATACACTAATTGCAAAATTTATGTAGGAATTTGATTTATTTGAGAGTCAACAATATCGGTTATGTAGAATGAAGTCACAATTGGACTTGTATTTGGAAGAGCCGAGACTAGACAGAAAGCAAAATTCAGATATGGATATACGTAGTTATTGGAAAACAAATAGTGTTCAATATCCAGAACTCTCTTTGATGGCACGTGATGTTTTGAGTATTCCAATCACGACAGTTGCTTTTGAGTTTGCGTTTAGCATTGGAGGCCGAATTATTGACAAATTCCGCTTTTCAATCATGCCTAGGAATGTAGAGGCATTATTATGCACTTGAGATTGGCTATACTGTTTTAGAGGTAAACATATGAAGTCATATTTTAATATTGGAGATTGATTGTTTTTCTATGTAACTCATTGAATTTGTAATTGGCCTTTTGTTTTAGTTTTTTTGGCTAAGATCATGGTTGGGGTGTGTTTTAATCTAATTGGTTTCTTGTTTGTCAACATACTCTTTTTTTCTTTTAGCTTCAGAAGAAGAACTGGTGGAGGATTTTGAACCCATAGTTGCTGGACTTGGGACCAATTCAAACTTTCCTCATTGCTAAGTGAGCTTTACTCTTGAGTTTTTTTTTTTTTTGAAAGAGAATTTACGCATTTAAGGGGGGAAAATAGATGGGATCAAATTGGTACTGGTCTTGTTGTACTGTTTCAGGTATTTCACTAGTCTAGTTTATCTCCTTTTAGGTCCCACCATCTTGTCCTACGACATCCACTATCCTTCCTAGCTTGGTATTGCCCTTTAAAGCGTAAATATAGTACCAAAATCCTATGTTGAGACATCAGGCTCTCTCTAGGAATCATCTTACAGTCGCTGCATTTTAACCAAGTGCACATCAGTCCAATCTTGTTTAGGCCTTCAGTAGCAAAAGCTACTGCCCGTAGAGGGTTGGGTTTGGATGATGACAAATGGTGTATTTACAATAGCTTCTTTCAATCATAAACTCATTGGGCAAAGCAATACTAGCTTTCCTTGTAAAGGTATGTGGTGGCTGAAGGCAAGCACCTTTCTTTGCCTAGACAACTGTTAGGGAGACTATTTTTATCATTGATAATTGATAACATAAGAAAAGGGGGAAAGACTATGATGGACTATTGCACGGTTATCTGAATCCCGGTCCAGATCGTAAGATCTTACGATTCAGTTCATCCAAATGATCCGAATCACACTAGAATCTTAAATTTAGTAAGGGATCTTAAAGTGACTACAACCTATTCATAAAATCGTGTAGAATCAAATAACAATCCCAATTCTACTATGATCCTAATCCTACAATTTTTTTGTTATTAGTTATTTCTTATATGTGTGTGTGTGTGTGTGTGTGTGTGTGTGTTTATATGTGTATATTTATATAAAAAATTTGACTATAAACTCTTTTTTCAAACGTCTCTTTTAATTTATGTTAACTTTGAAAATTTATCATTTTTCTTAATTTTTTTTTTTAAACAATGTAACATACATTATTATTATCGATAATTTTTAATTTTATTTTGCATTAAAAGTAAAATCTTACGATCTTTGATCCAATTCTACGATCCAATTCACGAGTCCCTCCCAACAATATCACCTAGGGTCCTGATTTCAACCACCTTGGACTATTGTTGCAAGTGCAAGTGTATAAGGGAGTCGAACAATCTTTTTTTTTTTTTTTTGTTCCATTGTACAGTGGTTACAGATTTGGGAATTGTTATTCTCAGTGTTTGGCAATAGCGTGAGTGATGCCTAGGCAATTGTTATTCTTAGTGTTTGGCAAAAAGAATGTCCAAGGGGAGACAATAGGAAGGCTTGGGAAATGGCTCCTTTGTACATTTGGAAATAGAGGAATTGTAGATCTTTTGAGGCAAAAAGAATGATTGGCTTATGCCTTGAAAGGAATGGTGTTGGCATCTATTGTCCGAGGGGAGACAATAGGAATGCTTGGCTCAAGGAGGATTAACCATCGCATCAGAGGTGCCCCATAGATGAGTAATGGGAAGTGGCAGCAAAGGGCTTTCCTTTTCAGCCCAAGTGAGAGTGGTCGCTGAGTGTTACTTAGAAGAGACCAACAGATTAGCTTCAGTTGGTGGTTCCAATCGAGCATCCGGCTATGATCAAATATACCAAGTAATGAGCAATAGCGAAACCAAGCCACCGCCTGTGAACCGTAAACCTTAAACTCTTCTGTAGAATTTTTGGGGTAGTTATCTGTCCATGTAGATATATAAATTATAATAGGTTTTCGGATATCAGTGTTTTTTTTTGTTTTTCCATTTGTATATTATGTATGTGCAAAGTTGTGCCCCTACTGGAGCATTTCTTCAATACACATCAAAACAACTTGAAAATGTCTATTGCGCTTCAAATTCTATCAACAATTGAATTGTAAGAGCTAGATAACCAACTATTAAACAATGGAAGACACTAAAACTGTGTACTCAATTCTTCAAGCCACTAGCATTACTCAGACATAGTCATCTATGTAAATATGTAATCACGTTTATACCAAAAGGTCATCAAGAATTATACTAGATTGAAGGACTGAGATAAGTTAATTCACCCATAAAATTATAAGTTTCAAACTCATTATTAATCATTAAAAAAAGACCCTTGGAGATGCTATTTTGAATTGGGGAAAAAAAAATATTTGCCAACCATATTTTCATGGTAAACATAAGCGGCAAGTGGAATTGCAAGCTACAGGATAACATGATTATTTTGGTACATATGTAATCGACGGAATTAAAAGTACCTTCATTAAATGGAAAACATTAATTAAAAAACGGAGACCATCTACCAAGCATTTTCATCAAAAATGAAAAGATTAGTCATTAGAGAAAAGATGACATGCATCTAGAAGATGCCAGCAACACATAATTGAAATGCAAGGAAATCAAGTACTTACCTCAAGCAAGAGGGGCTTTATAGCACTGCAGGTTGTAGCCCGTTCTACTTGTTTACGCCATTGCTTTCTGTGCACAGCATTCCAGAAGGGACCAACTGTCAGACCAAATAAACTCTCTTCCATGAACATAACATACATTGCAATACCATGAAGGCTTCCCTCTCCACTCCTTGGACAAAGGCTAGCAAGAATCTTCATAGCACCTTTAATGGCATTTGAGGCAGCTGCATTCAACAAGCATGCTCTCTTGCTTGAAACAGGGGCCTTGCAAGAAAAACACCAACCACACCTTTCTCTTGGGACTTCCACAAGCTTCTTTTCAGAATTCGGCCAGAAAAAACGTATAGCTGCTGATGAGAAAGCTTTTACTTGCAGTGAAATGTTAGCAGACATAGCTTTCCTCCTGTTGTCTGAAGCATGAGACTCAGAAACCCGATTTTCTTCTGATGAAAGAATAGCCAGATTGGCAGCAGCAGAAGCAGCAAAATCTCCATGATTGTAGTTATTTATATATGCATGGGACTTAAAATGTGATCCCATGTACAAGCAGCAATCATCAGATGAATTCATGTAACCTCTTCCACCAACTCGCTTAGTACCCTCTTTGCTTTGAGAGGATATGTTAACAGGAATACAAATATCATTCACATGTCCTTTGTAACTTTTATTGCTATTTCCTGATGTACATGTTGCAAAATCAACCAAGCTTGCTTTGCCACTGAAGAAGGTTTGATGAATCATATCAGATGGATTGACCTGCTGGCTAATTGAAACAGAAGACATGGTAGAATCCACCTTAGTCCGCTCAGAGAATTCAGTATCCTTAAGATGGCAAAGCTGTTTTGTTGTAGCGTCACCACTACTCTGCTGACCAGGGTGTTCTGTTTGGGTAATTGTATACAAAATCTTGTTAAACCCGGGATTTTTGCAAGAGTTTTCCAGACTTGAACCGACCATATTTTCCACATCACTTTCAGTTACACAACTTGCTAAGTTCTCACCCTCAACCATATCTAAAACTTTAGGACTTTCCTTACCCAACAGAGTAACTGATGGAGTAGAGAACTCAACATCTTCCTTTATGTTCGCTAACATTTTACTTGTTTCAATTGTTTCAACAAGAGGTAAAATATCACTTCCAATATGCCAATACTGTAAAATTCCCTTGCAAATCTCGGAATACAAAACAATAAGTTGTGCAGATGAATACAGTGCTTGCAGGACCTGTGGAATGTCATTTTGATTGTAGTATCGAAGAGATGGTTCTGAGTTGACTGAAACCTTTATCCTGAGATCAATTATTTAAAAACATCATGAAAGGACTTGAGATGAATGAGGAGACAATATAATACATAATAATATACAGAGAAATAAAGTGCAATATTGAGCCAAAGCAAGGCGGCGCAATGGACAAAGCCATCCAGTTACAACAGCATAAATATTATCATATTCAAAATATGGTAAAGCAACAAAGTAGTAAAACTAAGGTATTAGAAACATACACCAGTAAATGGTTGCAAGTACCCAAAAACATTTGTCCATATGAATCAACACCAAAAACTTCAGCTCCTCTTAGAGATGTACCCCTTGTAATTGTTGGCCCAATCTTATTAATTGTACACTCAGGACAATACCATGCCCCTTCGGGTATAAACATTTTGCTCACACCTATACATCTCGAATGGTAAGCTGACGGACACCCGTCACAACATAGCAAAGTCCCATCCATACCACAGAGCCGACATTCATCAGAATTACCATCATGAACAATATCAGCTTCCACATCCATTTCAGTGCCTTTCACACCCAAAGAACTTGAGTTGCAAGAAGATTTTGTCCCATGAGTTTCTGCTATGATCTCCATAGCTTCTTCATTCTTGCAAGCGGAAGTCTTTGAGAATCTAGGATGAACCCTTCGTGGCCCACCTTCAGAAGAAACAGTTTGAACAGCATCAGAATCAATTCCAACTTCTGATTCTTCACGCATGTCAATTTCTGCCCTTAGCTCTTCAGATTCTAAAACATCATCGCACAATATTTGCAAAATCATCAACTTTTGACCCACGGCTAAGGTGTAATAATCCTTTTCCAGAACATCAATGTAAAATCCTTTCCACTCTGGTCCATTTGTGTATTCCATTACCATTAGATATTGGACCAAGTAAACTGGCCAAGTCAATGTATCAAGCAAGCTCCAATCAGTAAACCTACAATCAAGAATGCCACGTTAATTCTAAATTCTGATCAAATGACTACTGAAGTAAACACTTCTTGCACAATAAGATGAGGCCAATGAAGTGGGCATAAAAGGTACCCAGTACTTACTGTTTAGGCCATACATGGTGAAGACATAATTGGTGCAGTAGTGCTTCTTGCATGCATTCAATAAATTATAATTCCACTGAAAACTCTTTTATTTTATGAGGATGATTATATGAGCAAAATCTTAGAGCATTCAAAATCTCAAAGAAGTAAAATAATACTGCATGGTTGTTGGCCACCGTAACATTTTCAATGAGATGCTCAAATTTAAGTTTACCAATAGAAAAGTAAATGTTACAATTTTTGTCAAAGAAACATAATAATGCATAAAATACCTGAGACATTTTGATGCCAGTTCAGAACCATCATAAGAGAGTGTTTCAAGATGACGCCTCAATGAATGCATGAGACCAACGTGAATGGCATCCAACAATGTGTTTGCAACAGGACAGTTGAGTGATCCCACGAAATCATCAAGTCCAAAAGGGCTCAAAAACAGCTGGATGCTAAACGAGCGCAAGAAACTATATACAGATAAAAGGTGTGAAACATACTCCTCCGGAACACCAATATTCCCCGAAGATGGAGGCAATTGAGGTGGAGGGACAACTGGTTCATCAACCTCCAAGCTGAAATCCCGATAAAGAGCATGCTCACATGAATCACTCGATGAATCAGCATCACCTTCAACTTGAACATCATCGATTTCATAAGCACCATCATTACTTAACTCACTCAGTTGAGATGCTTCAACCTTGTCCACAGCATTCGCCGACACCACGATCTTTTCCACAGCATTTGCCGACACCACAATCTTGTCCACAGCATTTGCCGACACCACGATCTTGTCCACAGCATTCGCCGACACCACGATCTTATCCAAAGCATTCGCTGACACCACTATGTTCTCCTCCACTGCCAAATCCTTCACCTTTACATCTTTCTTTGCAATTAACTCATCTAACTTCTTCTTTCTTAACATCCACTCATCATCGAAATCATCATCCCCCATAAGAAATTCCCTCACTTCAACGCCCTCCAAATCCTCACAATCCCCATCTTCATAATCAACTCTATATAACCCAGCATCATAATACACTATCTTCCCAAGAAAAATCCCACTACCCTCAAACTCTTTCTTCACATACCTCCCAACAAATGCCTTGGATCTCGTCTCAACCGCCTGCTTCTTTTCTTGCCCATCCATCACATCCTTCCTTCTCCTTTTTCTCCCTCGCCGTTCCGATCTGATTACCTCGGGTTCCATTTGCCCAATCAGAATTCAATCAATCCCAAAATTCCACACTTGCAACAATCCCTAGGGTTCCAAGAAAACACCTTGATTTCACCAAAACAATCGACACCTGGATCCAACTAATTCAATAAAAGTGCAAAATTTAGGGTTTTTACGGATCTCAACAAAAATAAAACAATCAAGTGAAAATTTTAAGCACGAAAACAAGGAAATGAGCATAAAAGTGAAGAGTTTTAAGGAATCAAAAGTTGATTTGACTTCAACATCGATATATATATATAATAGTATACATATGTAAGAATGTGAAAACGAAGCGTACCTTGTTAAGGATCGAGAACCGCCATTGAAGACGTGTTTTGGGGACTAGTTGTAGAGAGAGAGAGAGAGAGAGAGAGAGAGAGAGAGAGACGGTGTGGCAAAGTGCCCTAATGGAGCAGAGAGAGAGAGAGAGAGAGAGAGACCAACTCGGCCTCATCACCACTCCTGCTAGCGAGTTATAGCGGCACACAATCTATCATAACTCGTTTGACTCGTAAACTCGCCTTTCCGTACCGGTTTTAGCTCGTCCGAGTCGTTGTCACGGATTAATATTAATATCACAAAAAGAAAAAAAAAGTAATAAAAAAAAACCTGAGAATTATTGCAAAAAATAAAAGTACAATTTAATTTGATGCAAAAGTACAATCTAACTTGAACCTCTGTATATTTTTTATAACTATTTTATTTTATTTTCACTAATTTGTAATTCTCCAGTTTATTTTTTATGAGTAAAATTTCAAATTTTAATTAGAAAAAATTGCTAAAGTGAATTCATCTCTATATTGTTAATTGTGATTTTTTAGAGGGCTTTATCAAGAGAAAGTTAGCTGAAATTTAAAAAGATTTGAAGATCCAAAGTAATTTTTTTAACCAAGAAGTAAAAAAAATAAAAAATAAAAAATTATACACAAGCATTATTTATAAGTAAACAACATTTCAATAAAATTGAATTAATTATCTAGTAGTTGTTAGAAGTTTTTTGTTTTTTGAAATTCATTCTCAATTTATTTGGTTTAATTTTTGAAATTTCCACATATCCAACATTTACGTTGTGTTTAGTTAGGGGATTTGAAAATAGATTTAAAAAATAAAAATAAAAAAGTAAGTAAAATATGAATAAAATATATCAATATTTTATCTAATTTTACACACATTTTTTTTTTAAATCCATTCTCAAATCCCAACCAAATACAGCGTTATTGTAACGAAAATCTCATACACAGAAAAATATCTTTGAATATAATTTCATAGGTGTTAGACTTGCAACTTTTTGACAAATTAAAAGGCTTGCTAAAATATTGTCCAACAATAGTATTATTATTAGTTTGATTTAGAGTTTCCAAATTAAATTATTAATGTATAAAAAAATAAAAAGATGCATGGAGGTTGGCGAGTCAACTCAGACAATGGCCTTTCCCAAAGGCCGGTTTCGGGTCTCCGCCGTTTTCACACGAGCAAATGAGCTAGTGGCGAATGGCTAATAATACAAACCAAACCAACATTCACAACAAAAAAAAAAAAATAGTACAGGAAATGAGTATTAACTTGACTAATGGGGAATTGGCGGGAACAAATTAAAATTGTTTTTGATTAACCGTCAATTTTTTAATTATTATATAATAATTTTAAATAAAATAAAATAAAATAAAATGAAAATCACAATTTTCAGTGAGTAACGGTCAACTAACATTGGTCAGATGGCTAAATTAACTGACTGTCCTAAAACAGTTAATATTTGGTAGTCTCTAAGAGAAATTATTTTTGAAATATGTACATATATATTTTTATTTTTTATGTTTTCATAAAAATATTTTTTCTATATTTGAATGTGATATTTAAATTAATATATATTTGGTGATTATATTAGTGGTGATAGTAGTAGTGGTAGCGACGATTATGAAATAGTGGTATTAGTAAGATTTGCGTCTAGAAAACATTTTTATTTTTTTAAAGTTGAAAACATTTTCCACTACTAATTACTTTTTGTTGACTCTCGTTTCCGTCATGCCACAATTCAAAAACTATGAAAAAATTTGTTATAAACAAATATTTACTGTCGATACAAACGAATTACAAGTGAACGTATGATCATTATTGTCTAAATATAGAAGATAAAGAGATATTTTAAAAAGATGGTTAAAAATTACTTTTTGACTTTTTTTGGTGGAGGAGTGATGGAGACCCCCTCCAATCATCACCCCCACCACCCCACACACATGTGGCAAGTGGTGATTGGAGGACAAGGGAAACAAAAAAAAAGAAAAAGAAAATCCAACCAATGAGAGAGAGACGGGGTCAAAGGGGTGGGAAAAAAAAGAAGTCTTAGACATTTTTGTTTTTTGTGAAAAAGGAAAGTGGGTTGAAAACTGAAAAGTGACTTTTAACCGGCTTCCCAAAATAGCCCAAAGTGACTTTTAGAAAATATTTTTATTTTTTTAAGGTTGAAAACATTTTCCACTACTTATTACTTTTTGTTGACGCTCGTTTTCGTCATGCCACAATTCAAAAACTATGAAAAAACCTGTTATAAACAAATATTTAGGTCAAGTTTGGCAATTCAAAAATAATTTATTTTTTTTATCTTTTTATCTTTTTTTCATCACATCACCTCTTTACTTTTCTGCATATCTTTTCGTAAAAAGATAAAAAGTACACTTTTTTAGGTCATCCCAAACAACCCCTTACTGCCAGTACAAACGAATTACAAGTGAACGTGTGATCATCATTGTCTAAGGGTTGGTTTGGGAAGTGGGTTGGTTTTTTGATTTTTTGATTTTTCTGGTTATTTTAGCCTGGGTTAAAAAGTTTGGTTTGAGAAGGACTTTTTGGCTTTTTGGACTTTTTTTGTGAGAGAAGAGTGTAATAATTATGGGTTGGATGTGATGTTTTGTTTGTTGTAGCTAAAATAATCTATTTTGTCTTTTATGGCTAAAATAGCCAAAAAAACTCACAAAATCCCTTCCCAAACAGTGCCTAAATATAGAAGATAAAGAGGTGTTTTGGAAAGATAGTTAAAAATTACTTTTTGACTTTTTTTTGTTGAGGAGTGATGGAGACCCCTTTCAATTACCACCCCCACCACCATACACACATGTGGCAGGTGGTGATTGGAAGACAAGGGAAACAAAAAAAAGAAAGAAAAAGAAAATCTAACCAATGAGAGAGAGAGGGAGTCAAAGAGGTGGGAAAAAAAAAAGATGTTAAACATTTTTGTTTTTTGTGAGAGAGAGAAGTGGATTAAAAGTTGGGAAGTGACTTTTAATTCACTTTCCAAAATAGCCCAAAGTGACAACGTGACTTAAGTTGCTAGCTCAATTCGCTCAATCTAACCCTACTTTTTTTTTTGGCTCATAAAGGGTATTCTAACTTATAAAACTAAGCCGGTCCAATATTTTGGACTGGACTTGGGATTTAAGTTCATAGCTCGGCTTGGTCTAGCTTGTCCCACTAAGTATATTTATCATTATTTGTTTATGTAATATATATTGAAAAATATCAGTTTAAGTTGAATTTCTGTCCTTTTTTTTCTTAGTCTTTTTTTTGCTTTGTATCTTTTTGTGGAACTTGTTTCTAAACCATTGTTGTACATCCTTGGTAGTTCCAAAATGCTTCTTATTTTACCTAGTTGTCAAACCATGGGCAATCAAACTAATAATAGCAATTTTTGGGGATAAAAGTTTTAGGTTGTTTATTTATTTATTTATTTTTTCTTCTAATTCTTATTAGTGGTCACAGCTTTTTGTTTTTTATTTTTATTTTTTTGGGATTTTTGGTTTTTTTTTTTTATTATTTTAGATTTTATTGTTTTTAATCGAAACTAGTTTGCTAGTATTTTTATTTTTAAACGGTCCATATATAGAGGCTTGATAGGCAGGTTTGAATAATAGAGTTGGGCTTATTAGATGTGTTCAGGTTAGGCCAAGCTTAAGCAAATTAAAATTCCTTATTAATAAGTATTGCAAGTCCCATCTAAAACTTAGCATGTCTCTAATGATGTCCACCCATTTCTACCATTGAAATGACACATTACGGGTGATGCAAGTTAGACTTGCTAAATAATTTATCGTCTTCACTTTCTGTCTTTTTTTTGATAAACAATGAGCCAATATATAGACATTAAAAGAGTTTAAGAGTACAACACTCTAGGTATATTAAAAGAGTTTAAAAGTACAACACTCTAGGTCCTTCAAGAATTTGGCATAGGAAGGCCTTTGTTTAATCGCCTCCAACATGAGGAGGTTGATTTTAATTTGTTTGAAAACCTTCATCATCGTTTTCATGGATGCCGCTCTCTTATAAAAAAGGATCCTATCCTTGTCTCATTGGGGAAAGAAGCCTTAGGTATATATGATGCTTTAGGCTCATTTGAAGTACCTAGGGGCCAAGTCACTACAAGAAAAAGCACATTCGGCGATCAAATTTCCTGACTAAGAAAAATTTGGTCATTGAAAATATAACTTTCAGCGATCAAAACAACATTAGTAGCCAAAAGTAAGGTTTTTTGGTGACTAAACAATTTTAGTAGCCAAAAGTTTATAATTGACGACTAAAAATAAGTTTGGTCACTGATTATATGGGTTTTAGTGACTAAAAAAATTTTAGTAGCCCAAAGTAAAGCTTTTTGGCAATTAAAAAAATTTAGTAGCCAAAAAGTCTACAATTGGCGACTAAAAATAAGTTTGGTCGCTAATTATATGCGTTTTACTGACTAAAAAAATTTTGGTGGCCGAAAGTCTACAATTGGAGAGAGAAAAAAAATAACTTTAGTCGCTAAAAGTTAATTTTTTATTTTTATTTTGCTACTAAATAGTTTATTTTACATAAATTATGTAATAAAATAATTATGTTTATACATATACTTTTATATAAATATGGGTGTATGTACTATATAACTAATATATGTCACATATATAGTCATGTGGTGCTATAGAAGCGTAGTGGGAAGAGTGTGGCACCATAAGGTTTATGGTGCGAAAGGTTGGTGGTTTGAGTCTCCGCAAGAGCGGATCAAATGTTCTATGACAATTTTATTTATTTATTTTTATTTTTTTCACGTTTGAAGCTTTTGGTGACTAAAGGTGTTGGTCAGCGATTCCTTGACTATTGGCGACTAAAACATTGGTTGGTAAATGTATAATTTTAAAGAAATACAATTGACTATTGGCGACAAAATTTTGGTCGCTAAAGACTTGCTTTTTGGCGACCAAAGGTTTTTTGGTCGGAAAAACCCTCCAAGACCTTTCCCGACAGGGTTTTGGCGACAAACATAGCGCCCAAAATTTTTGGTCACAATGTCATTGGCGACCAAAAAATAGACAATTGGCGACCAATATTTTAGTCACTAAAAGTGACTTTTTTTTTGTAGTGGAAGGAGTGTGAGCTTGGTAGAAGAGAAGAGAGGAAGAAAAAGTTTGCTAATAATTCCAACAACCATCAAGTAA